TTCTCTCTGTCTCTGGAAAGATACCTTGCATTGCAAAAGGGTCAGGCTGTTACATCACAGCATCATGAGGTTTCTGCCTTAGATCATAGCATGCACTTCAGAGAAGCATCATCTCAAGCAGCAGCACACTCACACAGGAATGCATATGCATCCTGCAACTCGGTCCAAAGTGGCCAGAAAATATAGTTCTTGGGTGTCCCTGAAGCTGCTTGGCAGGCAAAGTACAGGCTGACAACCCTCCCCTCATCACCAAGGCAGCATCTGCTAAATCCTTGCAAAACTGGGCAAAGGCGGAGAGAGAGGAGCACGAGTGGGGCCATGTGCACACCAGCTGGCCACTCATGTGGCCCAGTAGTGGTTAGCTCATGGCCCGGTAGTGGACCATGGACCACAAATTGGGGGCCACTGCAATACACAATGCTACTTGTCATAGTCTTTTCTGCTTACCCATTTCTAGATATTCATAGAAGAGACCCAATGCTCCAAAGCTCTGCAAATCATGATCCTGCTCCCATCGACTGTATAAATTCTCTGGGTTGCTTCTTGCCTTCCGACGACCCCACCAATTATAGATCCAGCTAAATAGTGGAAAAACAGAAATCACTGTTGCAATAGTTATTTTTTTTAAAGCAAAATCATATAATTCTATGAATTGACACCACATATATTTCATGTGGGTTAGAAAGAGTTACAGTCTAAATCCCATGATTACATCTAAGTAGAACTGAACAGGTGAGCTGTGTCAGTTGATCCATTCCCTGTCCTCAAGCACTTGCCAGATTTATTCTTTATATCTGGTACTGCACACCAGCAGTGTTATCTGAAATCCTGATAATATAGTAGTGTCAAGATACCTGTAAAGATTACGTTGATATTGATTCATTAAACTTAGACATGGCAGAATTCACCAAATATTCAATTAATGAACTGACCGTCTTTTAAACATACAAATAATTCACTATTAAGATATTACTTACGGGACTATAGCTTCTTGAATATTACCCCAGATCTGTTTGCCAGCCATGATGATGGTGAGCTGGGTTGTCAGTTCAATCAAGCATCCTGCAGGATCACACTGGTAAAGAAATAAAACAACATGCAATTTGTTATGCCTCAATAGCAATGGCAACAGAAGTTACTGTATTTTTTGGAGTATAAGAAGCACATTTCTCCCCCTCCCTTCCAAGGAGAGTGAAAATTTGGGTGCATATTATACACCAAATGTAGCCCCGTCCACCCTCCGGCCCCCACCCTTTGGCCTCTCACTCCCAGCAATTTATCTCCTTGCAGCAAATGGGAAAAAATGGGGCTTGCGGAGATGGCAATAGGCTATGGCAATCCCTGCAGCCCTGAAACAGCTGATCATTGGGAGGCCCATGCTGAAACTGAAATTGAAATGAGGTGTTTGCTGTTTGTTCCAAGGAGGCAAATTGCTGGGACGCAGAGAAAGATTTTTTTCTTGTTGTAATCAGGCTAAACTGAAACAGGATGTTTGCTGTTTGCTGCAAGGAGCTAAGTCAATAACTATAAACACCTATAGAATGTTCAAATTATTAGTCTTATTTTTTTAAAGACTGCTTTATTATTATTATAGACAACTTAACAAAATGAAGAAGCTTTTTAAAATAAATGCTTGATCTGAAGAGGCCCAGTGCTACTGTATTTTCTTTGAAATGGCAGAGAATAACATATACAGGGCGGGGCATAACCTTTTCCTAGGGGGTCACAGCAACACTTGTAATAACAACACAAATA